CAAGATCCTTTTCTCAGTAATTGATATAACAAGTTGACAAACATCATCACAGATGTAGAAGACATGAACAACACTATTAACCAACTTGACCTAATTTACATTTATAGAATACTATATTCAAGTGTGGTTTCTGATCACAGAATTGAACTAGAAATCAGTATTTGGGAAACACCAAAATACTCAAATAGTAAATATCAGTTCTAAATAACCCATAGATCAAACAAGAAATCAAAAGGGATATTACAAAGTATTTTGGGTTTGGGCACAGTGGCTCATGCCTGTAATCCTAGCATTTAGGGAGGTCAAGATGGGAGGATCACTTGAGCCCAGGAGTTTGAGATCCCATCTTTACAAGAAAAAAAAAAAAAAATCAGCCATAAGTGGTGGCACATGTGTATGATCTCAGTCACTTAGGAGGCTGACACGGGAGGATCTCTTAAGCCAGGAGGTCAAGGCTGCGGTGAGCCATAATCATGCCACTGAACTCCAGCCTGGGCGACAGAGTGAAACCTTGTCTCAAAAAAAAGGATTTTGAACTGAATAACAATGAATGTCTTATCAAAATCTGTGGGACACAGCTATTACCAGTGCTTAGAGGAAAAGTAAAACAAGGAGTCAATATTAGAAAACAAGAAAGATCTCAGACAACTGATTTAAACTGTCACCTTAAAAACTACAAAAAGACAAGCAAATTAAACCCAAAACAAGCAGAAGGAAATAACAGGAATTATAACACAAAGCAATGAAATTAAAAATATAAAAATAAAGAGAATCAAAGAAACCAAAAGCAAGATTAAAAGGTGGCTCATGTCTGTAATCCAAGCACTTTGGGAGGCTGAGGCAGGTGGATCCCCTGAGGTCAGGAGTTCAAGACCAGCCTGGCCAACACGGTGAAACCCCATCTCTACTAAAAATACAAAAATTAGCTGGGCATGGTGATGGGTGCCTGTAGCCTCAGCTACTTGGGAGGCTGAGGCAGGGGAATCACTTGAACTCAGTAGGGAGGGGAGGTTGCAGTGAGCCAAGATCACGCCATTGCACGCCAGCCTGGATGACAGAGTGAGACTCCATTTCAAAAAAAAAAAAAAAAAAAAATCCTTTAGGGACAGGTATAGCGGCTCATGCCTGTAATCCCTATACTTTGGAAGGTCAAGGCAGGAGGACTCCTTGAAGCAAGAAGTTTGAGGCCAGCCTTGGCAACACAGTTAAGACCCTATCTCTACAAAAATTTTAAAATGGTGGCCTGCACTTGTAGTCCCAGCTACTCAGGAGGCTAAGGCAAGAGGATCACTTGAGCCCAGGAAGTCGAGGCTGCAGTGAGCTATGATCTAGCCACTGTGCTCCAGCCTGGGTGATAGGGTAAGACCCTGACTCAAAACAAACAAAAAAATTCCTTAAGGTGTCATCCTGGATTAGCAAGAAAACTCACAAAGAGGTTCTTTAGACACAAACTTGGTGGCCAGATCACTGTCACTTTTTCTTTCAAAAACTCAATGACCTCACTAAAGCATTTGAAATGGCAATATCCTCTTGAAAATATAATGAATAGCCTAGGTAGGGCCAATTTTCTTTCTTTTTTTCTTTACTTTTCTTCTTCTTCTTTTTTTTTTTTTTTTTTTTGAGATGGAGTCTTGCTCTGTCGCCCAGGCTGGAGTGCAGTGGTGCAATCACAGCTCATTGCAACCTCTGCCTCCTAGGTTCAAGCAATTCTCCTGCGTCAGCCTCCTGAGTAGCTCAGATTACAGGTGTGCCACCACCACACCCGGCTAATTTTTGTATTTTTAGTAGAGACGGGATTTCACCTTGTTGTTCATGATGGTCTCAAACTCCTGACCTTGTGATCCACCAGCCTTGGCCTCCCCAAGTGCTGAGATTATAGGCGTTAGCCATCGCACCGAGCCAGTTAGGGCCAGTTTTCTACAGTTTGCCATTTTCCACTACACTTAAACACAGCAAGGTACAATAAATGACAGGTAGCTTCAACAAGAAATTAGAATAAAGATGGAAGTTTAAAATACAGTACAGGTCAGGCATGGTGGCTCATGCTTATAATCCCAACATTTTGGGAGGCCTAAGCAGGAGGATCCCTAGAGACCAGGAGTTTGAGCCCAACCTGGCAAGAGTCCATCTCTACAAAAAATTTTAAAATTAGCCAAACGTGGTGGTATAGTAGTTCCAACTACTTGGGAGGCTATGGTGGGAGGATGGCTTGAGCCTGGCAGTTCAAGACTGCAGTGAGCTGTGATCATGTCACTGTACTCTACCCTGGACAACAGAGCAAAACTCCTGCTTCAAAAATTTAATTAATTAATTAAAATACAGGACAGAGATTCCTCTTAGAGGGCAGAGTGGCAGATACAAATGTGGAATTACAGACACAGACAGGTGGGTAAACCGATTCGATCTCTGTTTTACCCAACATTAAAAATATAGAGTGCTCCATGACCGGAGCATTGTAAGAGCCCAACAAAAATGTGCTGAATAAGTAAGACAAATGTATGAAATGAAAAATGAATAACTGAGTGAAGGAAAAGAATGAAGGGGAAAAGATGAAAACAACAACGGCTGGGCAAGAAGGATAAATATCTGTTTCAAAAAAGAGGGGTGGGGGAGGAAGACAGAGTAAAGGAGAAGAACCAGGAGAGCAGAGCATCGTGGTAGTCAAAGAGGAAGCAAGCTGCAAGAGTGGCCAAGAAAGTAACATGCTACGGAGATAAAGAAAAATGAGGAGGGCCACAAATCTAAAACAATAAAAGAAGTATTTTGATAACTCTGCAAGAATAGAAGGCAGAATAGAATACACATTGTTCCCAATCAATAGCATATACTCTCAATACTGATGTCCAGGTTACCTTGAGAATTAAATTTAAAATGATAATAACCGTTTATTAATAATTTCCCATGTACCAGGTTTTTGCTGGATTTGTAAAATTAACCCAAAATATCACAAGTCAAATTAAGCTGATATGAATTACTGTTAGGAAGTATGACTGATGGTATCTATAACTAAAAAGCTTAAGCTCAACTAACTCTATTGTACTGTATCTGAAAGAATCTGTTAATGGTAAGGAAATAGTCTTGAATGACATATAAAATGGAACCTCAGAGTAAGAAAAAAAGGTGTAACATTCTCCAATACTATCTAAGGGGTAATTGAGGCAGGAACAACTAGATGGGAAATAAATCCCAAGAGTGAGATGCATCATGCTATTATAATTTAAGACACTGACCATTAATAAAATCCAACTAACCTACTTGCTCTAATTCCATGTCCAAATAAGCTTCTGATGATAATTTGCTTCCTGTGTTATTTTGTTCAGTGGCCATTTGTACTACTTGATGATTATACTTCTCATTATGTGTACATTTTAGTGTACAGATTAGACTCTAGGGAATCAGTTCCCTAAGCCTAATCACCTCTGGGTATACTAACAAATCACATTTTTAATCCTATAAATTCAAAAACCATCACAGACAGATGGTCTCCCTCTATATTGCTGAATATCTATTCAAACCACAACATTTTAAATAAATAATTAGCTGAGTCAGTGAGTCATTTTTTGGCCCCAAAGACAAGGATCTGTCTTGGTATTGTCAAACTGCACCAAGTGAATCTGTACAATGCTAAAAGCAGTCTCCTAAAAAAGTTTGTTTTCTTACTATCATTGAAGTGGATATGCATTCAACTTCTACAGATCTTAGACGAGTGTTTCTTTTCCTAAGACATACATGGGAAAAAAAACTGAAGAGGGCTGTCAGTATACCCAAATAGATTTCCAATTAGGAAGGTACAAAGAAAACACCTCAGGAGATTTATCCTTAAAAAACAAAAAACACTGTGTCACAGTAGAAACAAAGAATGGATCAATGTTGCAGAAGATAGAAGTGAAGTAAAAAAGCACTACTGGCCGGGCGCGGTGGCTCACACCTATAATTCCAGCACTTTGGGAGGCCGAGGCGGGTGGATCACGAGGTCAAGAGATCGAGACCATCCTGGTCAACATGGTGAAACCCCGTCTCTACTAAAACTACAAAAAATTAGCTGGGCATGGTGGCGCGTGCCTGTAATCCCAGCTACTGAGGAGGCTGAGGCAGGAGAATTGCCTGAACCCAGGAGGCGGAGGTTGCTGTGAGCCGAGATTGCGCCATTGCACTCCAGCCTGGGTAAAAAGAGCGAAACTCTGTCTCAAAAAAAAAAAAAAAAAAGCACTACTTTAGCTACTGTGCAGACACAGCCAAGGAGATACAGAGAAGCAAGACAGTGGGAATCCACATAGCCCTCCAAGAGACCATGTGCAAGTTTCTCAACCTATGTGGACCTTGCTTTCCTCTTGTGTAAAATGAGGAAATTGGATCAATTAATCTCTAAGGTTCTTTTCAATTCTAAGTTCTATAATAATTAATTCCTTTAATGATGAATGGGACAGGTACAGAAACAAATTTACCAAGAAAATTTAAGAGTAGCTTTGCTCAAACAATATAGCACATTTCTTCCCAAGTGGAATCTATTTTACCTCCAATTTCCTGGAATGAAGTCTATTTAACTTCCAACTTTTTGAACTTTTATTTTACAATAAAACTATATCTAATAACATATAAAAATCAGCATATATAGGGGGAAATATCAACCTGCTACAGCAGTCATTCAAGAATAAAAATTGGGCTAGGAGTGGTAGCTCACGCCTATAATCCCAGCACTTTTGGGAGGCCTTGGCGGACAGATCACTTGAGATCAGGAGTTTGAAACCAGCCTGGCCAACATGGTGAAACCTGATCTGTACTAAAAATATAAAAATATTACTCAGGCACGGTGGTGGGCGCCTATAATCCCAGCTACTCAGGAGGCTAAAAAGGAGAATTGCTTGAACCTGGGAGGCAGAGGTTGCAGTGAACTGAGACCACACCACTGCACTCCAGCCTAGGCGACAGAGTGAGACTCCATCTCAAAAAAAAAAAAAAGAAAAAAGAAAAAAAGAATAAAAATAGAACAGAAGACTTACGCATGTCTTTCATATCTAAGGGTTTCCCGGATGGACCATGCAACCTGGTAGGGTGAGGCCTGCTCTGAGTCCTCCGGTTCCTCTCCACTCTCTTCAGACCAGTCCAACCCTGGAGTAAACAGGAGATATTGCAAGTTAGAAAAAATTACTGTTATTCAAAATTTAAATTAAAAAGCTACACAAAATAACATAACCCAACACACCCACAGCAAGTACCATCATGGTGTGAATAAATGCCTCCTGATTAATCTCATTTCTGTTCATACAAAGATATTAATAATGAATGTATGATGCACAATAGGGTTTTTTAAATGACATGACAACAAAAAGGCTAAGCTATATTCTACAGACGAACTTGTTTTGTCAGACACTTCACTAATAGGGTAGAAATAACAAAAGCAAAGACAGAGTTCAGGTCACAAAAAAGGTAGAATTTCTTTCTTTTTTTTCACTGGGGTTTTGCCCTGTCACCCAGGCTGGAATGAGTGGCACAATCTCAGCTCACTGCAACCTCTGCTTCCTGGGTTTAAGTGATTCTCATGCCTCATCCTCCCGAATAGCTGGGATTACAGGTGCCCGCCACCATACACAGCTAATTTTTGTATTTTTAGTAGAGACAGGGTTTTTCCATGTTGGCCAGGCTGGTCTTGAACTTCTGACCTTAAATGATCCACCCCCAGCCCTGGCCTCCCAAAGTGCCGGGATTACAGGTGTGAGCCACTGTGTCCGGCCAGAATTTCTTTAAGTATTAAAACTTCATACACTAAAATGATGTCAGAAAAACATAAAATATATTCAAGAGGGTGAAAAAAGCAGCTCAACACATGTTCAGGCAAGAAAAAGGTCAATACCTGCTTCTGAATGGCTTTATGAAAACAACGAAAAAAAGAAAAAGGTCAAAAAGTGGAGACAGAGTCACCCTACATTTCAACAAAGAAGGGCCCTACAATAAAGTCTCAAAGGCAGAAACACTCCATCCCCCACTCCCAAACCATTCTTTAGTTCTTACCTTCTACAGGAAAATGGAAGGGTGGGATGGTCACGTTCTATTACTAATGAGATTTGGGATTTCTTTCAATTATTTTAAACAAAAGCTGTCAGATTTTGTGCTCCACTATATAAAACAAGGTTAGAAGGAAAGATGGATGAATGCAGTATATATTAATATTTTGTTAAAGGGTCTCACTCTGTTGCCCAGGTTGGAGGGTAGTGGTACAATCTCGGCTCACTACACACTTGACCTCCCGGGCTCAAGTGATCCTCCCACCTCAGCCTTCAGAGTAGCTGGCACTACAGGCAGCACCACCATGCCCAGCTAATCTTTGTATTTTTTGTAGAGATGGGGTTTCACCATGTTGACCAGGCTGCTGTCGAACTCCTGAGCTCAAGTGATCTACCTGCCTTAGCCTCCCAAAGTGCTGCAATTACAGGCATGAGCCACTGTGCACAGCCAAATGCTATAATTTTTAATGATTAAATAATTTTTAACTCCTGACATAAAAGCTTTACCCTTTTAAAAGTCTTGTATCTTGGCCAGGTACACTGGCTCATGCTTGTAATCCCAGCAGTTTGGGAGGCTGGGGCGGGAGGATCGCCTGAGGCAAGGAGTTAGAGATCAGACTGGGTAACAAAGCCTAGACCCCGACTCTACAAAAAACTTAAAAATTAGCCAGCCAGAGTGGTACATGCCTGCAGTCCCAACTACTCAGGAGACTGAAGCAGGAGGATCAATTGACCCTTGAGGCCACAGTGAACCATAATCATGCCACTGCACTTCAGCCTGGTGACAGAGCAAGGCCCTATCTCTAAAAGTTAAAAAAATTTTTTTTTTAATTTTTACATCTTGAAGAGGTCTTGATAAAGACTGACGTAGCCGGGCGCGGTGGCTCAAGCCTGTAATCCCAGCACTTTGGGAGGCCGAGGCGGGTGGATCACGAGGTCAAGAGATCGAGACCATCCTGGTCAACATCGTGAAACCCCGTCTCTACTAAAAATACAAAAAATAAGCTGGGCATGGTGGCGCGTGCCTGTAATCCCAGCTACTCAGGAGGCTGAGGCAGGGGAATTGCCTGAACCCAGGAGGCGGAGGTTGAGGTGAGCCGAGATCGTGCCATTGCACTCCAGCCTGGGTAACGAGAGCGAAACTCCGTCTCAAAAAAAAAAAAAAAAAAAAAAAGACTGACGTTGCACAGACAGCCTAAAGTGTAACAGTATGTGGGACTACATAAGTTTAATATATTCATACCTCTATGAAACTTACAAGACACCTTGATAACTATTTTATTTACATCTTCCTTCTTGAGAACCTCAAAAATCAAGAGTATTAGACAGTTACATTAAAAAGGACTTCACGGATTGCTTCCATAGTTTAAATGAGTTTACAAGTGCCAAATAGGGAAATTAAGAAAAGGTTAATTGAAATGCAAATTATAAATGTTTAAGATTAAATAACACATTGCCATTGGCATAAAGAAACTTCAAATCTGTTCCAAGATGACTATCTAAAATGTCAGGTCACCTTTAAAAATGAGCTACTTTCTCTCAACTGAAATAATTAATAATTTGTAGGGGGAAAGGTAAAAAAGCAGTTAAGTGATCACAACAGCATCAACTTCAGTGTGTTTAAAGGTAAGGTCCTCCTAAGTGACATTTAAGTCACCACTAAAAAACAGAGCATGAGTTATCTTTTATTTGTTTCAATAGAATAATTTCTACTCAGACACCTATACTTTCTCTGAGGAAGTCAAGATCTAAGTTATAAAAACTAAGATGGGGCTGGGCATGGTGGCTCACGCTTATAATCCCAGCACTTTGGGAGGCCAAGGTGGGAGGATCACCTGAGATCAGGAGTTCAAGATCAGCCTGGCCAACATTGTGAAACCCCATCTCCACAAAAATACCAAAATTAGCCAAGTGGGTACCTGTAATCCCAGCTACTCGGGAGGCTGAAATGGGAGAACAGCTTGAACCCAGGACACAGAGGCTGCAGTGAGCCGAGATTGTGCCACTGTACTCCAACCTGGGTGACAGAATAAGACCCCATCTCATTAAAAAAAAAAAAAACACAACCTAGAAGATGGAAGTGTTTTTCCTGCTGTGAAACTAACTGTCCAATAAAGCAAACCTTTGATCTTGGCTTCATTATCACTCATTTTAATGTAACTAACTGATATACTAACTGCTATAACTAGCCTAGACAGGACTATAAAAGCTAATAAGACTGAGTTTTTATTTAAGTACTCTTTGTTGACATGAATACAGACAATACTTTGTCATAAAAGTGCATTACAATTTTTGGTTTCTCCAAAATAACCTTTGTTTTGAGAGCTTAAGCCTCTGAAATGTTTGCATTTTTAAAAACTTAAAAGGGTCACTATGTGTGCTGGCTCACGCCTATAAACCCAGCACTCTGGGAGGCCAAGGCAGGTAGATCACCCAAGGTCAGAAGTTCGAGACCAGGCTGGCCAACCTGGTGAAACCCCATTTCTACTAAAAATACAAAAAATTAGCCAGGTATAGTGGTATGCGCCTATAATCCCAGCTACTCGGGAGGCTGAGGAAGAAGAATCGTTTGAACCTGGGAGGCAGAGGGTACAGAGCCGAGATCACGTGAGCCGAGATCATGTGAGCCGAGATCACGTCACTGCACTACAGCCTGGGCGACAGAGCAAGACTCCATCTCAGAAAAAGAGAAAAAAAATTTTAAAGGCTGAAAACTTTTTCTGTATGTTTTCATTCTGTTTAAAAGGATTTAAAAAATCAATGGGCATGGTGGCTCACGCCTGTAATCCCAACATTTTGGGAAGCCCAGGCAGGTGAATCACCTGAAGTCAGGAGTTCAAGACCAGCCTGACCAAGATGGAGAAACCCCATCTCTACTAAAAATACAAAATTAGCCAGGTGTGGTGGCACATGCCTGTAACCCCAGCTACTCGGGAGGCTGAGGCAGAAGAATCGCTTGAACCTGGGAGGCAGAAGTTGCAGTGAGCTGAGATTGCGCCACTGTACTCCAGCCTGGGCAACAAGAGCGAAACTCCGTCTAAAAAAAAAAAAAAAAAAAAAAAAAAAAAGACAGGGTCTCAGCTCTGTCACAGTGGCATGATTTTAGCTCACTGCAGCTGTAAACTCTTGGGCTTAAGTGATTCTCCCGCCTCAGCCACCCAAATAGCAGAGAGATTACAAGTGCACCAGTGTGCCTGGCTATAACAGATACCAGGAAAGGAAAAACAGGAGAGGAGGGAGAGACTTTGCAACAAATATACATATAAAAAGCTCTTACAAATCAATAGAAATTAAATAAATGAATGGAAGACGTGAAAGGCAAAATAAATAAAACGTCCAAAAAATCATATGAACACTGCCAGGCGCAGTGGCTCAAGCCTGTAATCCCAGCACTTTGGGAGGCCGAGGCGGGTGGATCATGAGGTCAAGAGATCAAGACCATCCTGGTCAACATGGTGAAACCCTGTCTCTACTAAAAATACAAAACATTAGCTGGGCATGGTGGCGCGTGCCTGTAATCCCAGCTACTCAGGAGGCTGAGGCAGGAGAATTGCTTGAACCCGGGAGGCGGAGGTTGCGGTGAGCCGAGATCGCGCCATTGCACTCCAGCCTGGGTAACAAGAGTGAAACTCCGTCTCAAAAAAAAAAAAAAAAAGAAAAAAAAATCATATGAACAAATACTCAGCTATATTATGAATCCAAAATAGCAGTTCTCAAAGTATGGTCCACAGATCCCCAGAAGTCCCTGAAATACTCTCAGGGTATATAGGTCAACACTATTTTTTTTTAAGTTTTATTTATTTTTTTTTTTAATTTAAATTTTAAAAAAGAGATAGAATCTCACTATGTTGCTCAGGCTGGTCGCAAACTCCTAGACTCAAGTGATCCTCCTGTCTTGGCCTTCTAAAGTGCTGGGATTACCAGCACGAGCCACCTCACCTGGCCTCAAAACTATTTTCAACAAAACAGTATGAAGACCTTATTTGCCTTTTTCACTGTGTTGACACACTGATGGTATAAAAGTAATGACAGGTAAACAGACTCCTTAATTAGCATGAATTAAGGCAGTGGCATCAAACTTACTAAGAGTCATTGTATTCCTCACGATGCCTCCAAGTTTTATTTAATAATGTTTTTGCTTATTAAAGATTATTTATTTTATGAAACCAACCTGAGTACATGTCTTGATACTCTTTATACTATTCTGAGTAAATGTGAAGCATACATAAAACACCTCTGTCTCAGAGGAAGAAAGTATGCCAGTTATCCTGAGGAAGAGGACTTGCACAACTGTTTTAATGGCAACCTGACCAAACTGCTTTTTCTCATTCATCATTTTTATTTGAAAGAGTATGTGACAGGCCAGACACAGTGGCTTATGCCTGTAATCCCAGCACTTTGGGAGGCAGAAGCAGGAGGATCGCTTGAGCCAGGACTTCAAGATCAGCCTGGGCAATGTAGTGAGACCCCCACTCTACCAAAAAATTTTTTTAAAAATTAGCCAGTTGTGGTGGTGTGTGCCTGTGGTCCCAGTTGCTTGGGAAGCTGAGGTGGGAGGATCACTTGAGCCCAGCAGGTCAACGCAGCAGCAAGCCATGATCATGCCACTGCACTCTGGCCTGGGCAACAGAGCAAGACCCTGTCTAAAAAATAAAAAATTATATTTTAAATTTCTCAGTTTTAGCTTCTAATACAGTATAAATAGATCCAACTCATACACAAGGGTTCTATGGTGTCCTTATTAATTTTTAAGTGTAAAGGATCCTAAAACCAAATTTATAAACACTAATCTACGTAAATTTAAGGAGATTTTCTATCTAATTTGCAAAGGCAGTAATAACAGTAATAATACTAATCAGAACTGATAAAGAGTTAGAGAAACTTATTCTCACACACTGCTTAAAGAAGATAAGCTGACAAAATAATTCCGAAGAAAAATTTGGCAACATATATCAAAAAAAAATTTTTTTTTTTTAAAGGAAAAGCTAAAGCTTAGAATCAGCAATTCCACTTTTAGGATACAGAATTAACAATCTATTCGAAGACAAAATTAAAGATGTGGCAATAACTGTTTACTGCAAGACTATATACATCTACAACAGTTTATAAAGACATAAACTAGATACAACTTGAATGGAAGACAAAATTCAGCCATGACAAATTATATTGTATATGAAAAATTTTAAAACAGGTTACAAAACAGTATATATAGTAAGAACCAAATTTTATATATTGGAAAGAATTTGGCATGTGGGTAAAGCAAGTTAAATAATTTTTTTAAAAAAAGAAAAAAAAGAATATACCATGGTATTAACAAAGGGGTATTAATATAGCTTGGAGTGTTTTAATTTATTATTTTTGTCTGTATAGTTTTTAAGTTTTGCTTTTTAACCACAAAAAGTCAAAAATTGTTTAACAACGGGTTAAACAATAAAAAGCTATAAGAAAAGCCACCACTCTCTTCTCTTATAAAATACACCGTGTCCAATTCCGTCCTTCCTAGGGTAGCTGATGTTAACAGCCTGGAAGAATGTATCCTTTTATACTTTTACCTATGCTCACACTAATCAGGCAAACAGCCATATACTTAATATACTGATATCCCCTGTTTATTTACCTTGTTTGTTTTTGCCAAAAGGGAATAATAATTACCTCTTTATTTTTTTCCACTTTTTAATATACCACGGACACATCCCAATCAAAAGATAAAAATTTCATTTTTTTTTTTGAGATGGAGTTTCACTCTTGTTGCCCAGACTGAAGTTCAATGGCATGATCTCGGCTCACTGCAACCTCTGCCTCCCGGATTGAAGCAATTCTCTTGTCTCAATCTCCTGAGGAGCTGGGATTACAGGCGCGTACCACCATGCCTGGCTAATTTTTGTATTTTTAGTAGAGATGAGGTTTCGCCATGCTGACCAGGCTGGTCTCAAACTCCTAACCTCAGGTGATTCACCCACCTCAGCCTCCTAAATTGCTGGGATCACAGGCATGAGCCACCACATCTGGCCTCATTCATTCTTTTTAATAGCTATATAGTATTTCTTTCTTTTTTTTTTAAATAATAGGGACAAGGTCTTACTATGTCACCCAGATTGGTCTTGATCTCCTGGGCTCAAGTGTTCCTCCCATTTCAGTCTCCCAGAGGGCTAAGATCACAGGTGTGAGCCACTGTACCCAGTCTGCTACATAATATTTCTTAAAACATACATAAACCATAATTTAGTCAATGTTTCCTAGCAGTAATTGTTTCTTTGCAAGTTTTTAATGCTACAAACAATGTTTCAACGAACATCCTGGCACATATACCCTTATATTTTATTTATTTTTTTTTTTTTTAGAGATGGGGTTTCCCCATCTTGGCCAGGCTGGTCTTGAACTCCTGACCTCATGATCCACCCATCTCAGCCTCCCGAAGTGCTGGGATTACAGGCGTGAGCCACCTTGCCCGGCCTACATTTTGATTTTTTTTTTTTTTTTTTTTTTTTGAGACGGAGTTTCGCTCTTGTTACCCAGGCTGGAGTGCAATGGCGCGATCTCGGCTCATCGCAACCTCCGCCTCCTGGGTTCAGGCAATTCTCCTGCCTCAGCCTCCTGAGTAGCTGGGATTACAGGCACGCGCCACCATGCCCAGCTAATTTTTTGTATTTTTAGTAGAGACGGGGTTTCACCATGTTGACCAGGATGGTCTCGAACTCTTGACCTTGTGATCCACCCGCCTCGGACTCCCAAAGTGCTGGGATTACAGGCGTGAGCCACCGCGCCCGGCCCATTTTGATTTTTTTAATCCTCAGGATAGTGTCTTGAAAGTGAGACCGCTGGCTACAAATATATTTTATTTTTATTTTTCATTTTTATTTATTTATTTATTTTTTGAGATGGAGTCTCACTCTGTCACCCAGGCTGGAGTGCAATGGTGTACTTCTCGGAGTGCCGAGAGTACATTTGAACCTCTGTCTCATGGGTTCAAATGATTCTCTTGCCTCAGCCTCTGGAGTTGCTGGGATTACAGGTGCTTGGCACCACACCCACCTAATTTTTTTGTATTTTTAGTAGAAATGGGGTTTCACCATGTTGGTCAGGCTGGTCTCGAACTCCTGACCTCATGATCTGCCTGCCTCAGCCTCCCAAAGTGCTGGGATTACAGGCATGAGTCACCATGCCTGGCCTTATTTTTGTTTTTTTTTAGAGACAGGATCTTACTATGTTGCCTAGGTTGGTCTCAAACCCTTGGCTTCAAGTGAGCCTCCTGCATCAGCCTCCCAAAGTGCTGGGATTATAGGTGTAAGCCACTAAGCCCAGCCTATACATATATTTTTAATTAGATGTTGCTAAATTACTCACCAGAAATGTATGAGATATCATACCCTGACCCTGACCAACCATGGCCATTATTTTGCCAATCTGGTAATTCATTGTTGCTTTAATTTGTATTTCCTGCCTGCTGAGAGACTGAGGTATTCATTTGCTTATTGACTATTCATATCTCTTCATGTTCTATCTTTGTTCATATTTCTATCGCTGTGATATTATGCAAATAATTTTTCCTGAAGAGAGAATCATAACTCATATCAAATTCAAGAATAAACTTCAACTGAATTAAAGGTTTAAATGATCAAAACCAATCAAACTATTAATAGAAAATACAATATCTCTATAAACTTGGGATTGAGGAAGTTTTCTCAAGCAAAACAGAAAATTCAGAAGCAACAAAAAAACAGACGTGACTACATTAAATTACAAGTTTTACATGTATTTTCTCACTTTTAAATCATAAACAGGTATTGCCTTGAGAATTTTTTAAACAGGAAAAAATGTTTTAAAACGGTAAGCAGATATTAACAATACTATGATCATTCCTAAAAAAAGACATGCAAAGAACTTCATTAGATGCACAGGTGCTAAACTCATAAAGGCATACAACCAAACACAACTGCCTTTTCATGCTGCCATCACTACAAATAAAAGCTATGTGTGGAATTCAAAATTCCCAACTCCTATTTCTGTATCCTATTCAGTAAGTATTAGTCCCTCCAGTGTTGGCCCTCTGTATCTATGGGATCCACATCTGTGGATTCAGCTAATCACTGATCAAAAATATTTGAGAAAAAAGGTTACATTAAAAAAATAAATTTAAAAAAATAATAATAAAAATAAAAGGCTGGTCCAAGTGCAGTAGTGTTCACAACTAATTGATCACAACCAGTTACAGATTTCTTTCTTCCTTCTCCACTCCCACTGCCTCACTTGACTAGCCTTTGGAAAAAAAAAAAAAAAAAAAGATTACATTTGTACTGAACATACACAGACTTTTTTCCTTGTCATTATTCCCTAAATACAGTATAACAACTGTTTTCATAGCATTTACATTATATTAGGTATTATAAGTAATCTAGAGATGATTTAAAGAATACGAGAGGATATGCATAGGTTATGTGCAAATACTACACTGTTTATATCAGGAATTTGAGCATCCTCAAATTTAGGTACCTGGAACCAATCCACCACACATGTAGAGGGAAGACTGTGTTTACTTTAAGGTGATCTACCTGAATACAGAATCTTTCACTGTACCACTCTGCCCAATTGTTACTCCAGCCCCATCACATATGGAGTAATTATGAAAGGGAAGCCCCATACAACAGAACACATTTTGCCATATTATGTATCTGTGAGATGATAAAATAGGTAACTCACCTAAATGGGGAAACAGATCAGTGTCCAACTGATGTTTTTGGGTGCACAGTTTCACCAGTCTCTGCAGTCGACTTATACACGAGAAGTGTGGAGAGAAGGCTGTGGCTTTCATGAGGATCCGGTCAGTCCTGGGTGGGTCCACGGGGGGAGCCCTACTGGATGGCAGGAGGGGCAGAGGCCTCTTGTGAGACAACTGCCGTGCTTGTGCTATAGTGTGTGTGGTGGGTGCCACTCCCTGCATTGGTAGGCTGGTGTTCTGAGGTTGAGGTGACTTGCAGACTGAACCCTGCGGTGGCGCTGGAGGTTTTAAAGAAGTGGATAAAGGTGACAGGTGGGAGTGCTGCTGTGGAGGCTGCTGCTGTGAAGGTGCAGGAGGGGGGCTAAAGTGCTCTTGTCGAACTTTTAAAATCTCTGTCTCTCTCTGGCGCTGCCGATTCTGGGCTAACTTGCTCTGTAACTTCTTTCTCACAGTTGCCCCTTTCTTTAGGTCATCATCTTCCTCATTGAAAGCAAATGGGTCTTCCAACTCAGTTTCCAGGTAGTGGAGAGGGACCCTTGCCCCAGGTGGAGAGAGGGACATTCCATCCAGTCCGTTGGGCATCTTCAAGGCCAGCGTGGGCACCGTCAGGCTAAAGGCCATGGTATCCATCTGGTGCCTGACCTTCACCTCATCTATTGGATCATTCTTTTTCTTCCTCTCTTTTTTCGGGATAAAGCCAAGTACCTGCAAGTGGCTGTTGCAGTACCTTTAAAAACACACACAGACATGAGAAAATATTCATGACACATATTTTTTTTTTTTTTGAGACGGAGTTTCACTCATGTTACCCAGGCTGGAGTGCAATGGCGCGATCTCGGCTCACCGCAACCTCCGCCTCCTGGGTTCAGGCAATTCTCCTGCCTCAGCCTCCTTCATGACACATATTTTTAAAAGTAGAACATAAAACTACATGTGAATCCTAACACATTAAAAACTGCATCACTATAGTGACTCTTGAAAGTCGGTGCCTTAACATGCAAACTGCTACTACTTTCAAGCCAACCGCAAAGTCAGTGTAATTTTGATGAGGCAAATATGTGAACTGTACATGCACAGAAGTGGCCAGACAGAAGCAAGTCATTCAGTTATTGAGTGGCCCTGGATAACTGCTCATCTACTGCTTCTCTATTCATAACATACAAAGTAACTCATCAAGAGTCTGAAAGATCACTTAAAATTCTTTTATAGAGAAAAAAATATATTTTCTAATGCATTAAAGTATTTGGAGATTCACAAAGCACGTATGACATAAAACCCTCAAGAATGTCAAGAGTCTACTGTGCTTTAGACACACACACACACACACACACACACACACAGAGAGAGAGAGAGAGAGAGAGAGAATGGAACGAGAAAGTAAAAGATGGCTAGCGGGGTTATAGGTGAAATGCCTTTTTCAATAGCCAGATGTTATGTACATGAATTATTTCCTATAGTACCTACCTGCAGTAGGCGCTAAAATAATGCCCTTAATGTAGGTAAGGAAACTAAGCTTTACAGAAACTGATTAACTTGCCTGAGACTCTTTCCAGCTGGAAACAGTCAGCGTTAACTAAAATCACAGCTCAGGAAGACTCTCATTAGTCTTCAACAATGAGCAAGTATACTGCTCGGGTGATGGGTGCACCAGAATTTCACAAATCACCGCTAAAGAATTTACTCATGTTACTCATGTAACCAAATACCACCTGTACCCCATAACTTATGGAAAAATAAAATAATAACTTAAAAAAATGCTTGCGGCCGGGCGCGGTGGCTCAAGCCTGTAATCCCAGCACTTTGGGAGGCCGAGGCGGGTGGATCACGAGGTCAAGAGATCGAGACCATCCTGGTCAACATGGTGAAACCCCGTCTCTACTAAAGCTACAAAAAAAAATTAGCTGGGCATGGTGGTGCGTGCCTGTAATCCCAGCTACTCAGGAGGCTGAGGCAGGAGAATTGCCTGAACCCAGGAGGCGGAGGTTGCGATGAGCCGAGATCGCGCCATTGCACTCCAGCCTGGGTAACAAGAGCGA